AAGCTAGTCATGTAAAACCACACATTACCCTTTAAAGGAGAACTTTAAACCTAATTAAATGATATTTGTTAAGTTAGAAGGTAAAAATGTGTCCTTCTCAGAAAGTGAAGAAAAGTTGTAAGTGTAGTGAAAACATGCATGAATGACTGTCTTAACCCACTGATTACAGATAATCTGTGATGTGTACTTGCTAAGAGTCCTAAATTGAGTTCCCCAGCCAGCGAGTCACTGTTTTCCAGACTGCCAGATTAAAGTCCATAAACTTGGTCAGCCGGAAAACTCAATTACAAGATTTAAGCTATTCCGCCTGTGGTTTTAAGCACATGGTTAAAGTATATCATTTGAGTCTCTCTGCTTCTAGAGATGCATTCAGATTTTCTTTTTAAACTTATTATTTATTTCAGGTAGCAATCTTGATGATTAATGCAGTCAAATGCTAAGTTATAACCCTGATATCATCAGGATTCCTTTAAGTAAAAGGCAATTCAAAGCGGTATTGCACTCCCCCATTCCTAATGCTTTAACACTGTTTACTGATGGAAACATGGTAAACATGGAAGAGCAGCAGGCTAGTAGAGACCACATAATTCAATCACTCAGTGTGAGTTTACTAGCACTCAAAGAGCTAAGGTTACTCTGTTTGTTTATTTATTTATTTATTTAAGACAGAGTCTTGCTCTGTCGCCCAGGCTGGAGTGCAGTGGTGCGATCTGGGATCACTACAAGCTCCGCCTCCCGGGTTCAGGCCATTCTCCTGCCTCAGCCTCCGGAGTAGCTGGGACTACAGGCGCCCGCCACCACGCCTGGCTAATTTTTTGTATTTTTAGTAGAGATAGGGGTTTCACCATGTTAGCCAGGATGGTCTCAATCTCCTGACCTCGTGATCTGCCCTCCTTGGCCTCCCAAAGTGCTGGGATTACAGGCATGAGCCACCATGCCCAACCTATCAGGTTACTCTGTTTATTTATTAAAGAACTTTTACAACCTTAAGCTCGCTCTGGACTTTGCAGCCTTCTGTTGCAAATATAGCCATCAATTTATGGGGTCAAGACTTACAGCATGGGATAGGAGACTTACAAATGAAAACTTTGATAACCCAGGATTTAAAATGTTGAAGAACATGGGATATCAGAGTGAAAAAGGTTTAGGGAAACTTCTACAATGAAATCCTAACCAATATCAGTAACTGGAAAAACAGATAGAAAAGGGCTAGGACACCAGGATTTCTGACAGGGGTCATTGATATTTGATATTTCTCCTTCGCCCACTGCCTTACCATTAGAATGGCTCAGTGACAAACCTGTGTGGGTGGATCAATGGCCCCTAACACAAAAGAAGCTAGATCAACTTCATTTGTTGGTAAAAGAGCAATTGAACCCAGGACAGTAGAAAAGTCAGCCCCTGGAATTCTCCAATATTTGTTATTCCAAAAAGGTCCCAAAATAGTAATGACCTCTGGGGTTTCAACTCAACACTCAGAGCTAATTGCAGTCATTCAGGTTTTACAGCTCACAGCTTCAGATCCTGTCAACATTGTCTGTGATTCAGCTTATGTTGTACATGTAGCCAGTCACATAGAAACTGCTACAGTTAAAAGTACACTAGACCCAGAACTGCTTAATTTATTTCACTTATTCTCATATGCTGCATGCTACATGCCAAACAGGTGACACAGCTGGTCATGTACAGTGACATTGTCTGTCATCATTTGCTCATATGGGAATACCTAAACAATTAAAAACAATGGACCCGCTTGTACTAGTCATACTTTTTAAAATTTCTTACAGCTTTGGGCTATAACCCATAAAACAGAAATTCCTTATAATCCTAGAGAACAAGGCATTATAGAGCAGGCACATCAAACATTACAACGCATGTTGAAAAAAACAAAAAGGGGGTATAGGAGGCCAACTACCATCTCAATCAAAACTACATTTAGTCTTATTTACTTTAAATTTTCTGACTCCTAGTACGGAAGGTAAGACTCCAGCAGAAAGACATTGGCAAGTGTTAGAGGAAAAGAGGAAAGTTCTTCCAAAAGTGTTATGGAAATCCCCAGAAGGAGGACAATGGAAAAGTCCGGTGGATTTATTGACGTCGGGAAGAGGGTATGCTTGTGTTTCTACAGGAGATGGACAAACCGTGTGGGTGCCCTCAAGGTGCGTGCGACCATGGAACAGGAGACTGGAGGTACCCACAGTGGCCAATCATGAGCCTGGTCCCTTCAGTACCAGCCATAAGCCAGCTGGGCCTGAGTGCAAACACAGAGAGAAGGCCTAACAGAATCATGAAACAGTTCTAAAGCTGTTTTCTGTAAAATCGGATGGACCGCCAATTGGATAATGAAAGCTGCCCAGCCTGACCTTACATTCTTTCAATACATAAACAAAAAGGGGGATATGCAGGGAGCCGAAGGCCCGTGGGACATGACCAACTCGGCATTCCACTTGAGTCTATATGATCAAATAGCAAACTGTTTATCATGAATGCAGGATGTGGGCAAGCTCACACTGCCCTGCCACCAAAAGGTTTGCTGAGGGACATCACTCCCTGGCACCTGGCTCCTTGAAGTTATCTACTTGAGAAATCTAGCACCTATTGTGCAAAGGATGCAGTCCGCAAGACTGCTGTGAACCCCAACTGACAATTACCTGCTTTTCTCACTATCTCTTTTGCCTAATAAATACGGAGGGCTGAGTAAAGCTTAGGGCCCTTGTCCACTAGAGGCAAAGTGCCCCTTGACCCCTTCTTCCAAATATACTCTTTTGTGTCTTTATTCCTGCGTTCACCCCACTTTGTTCAGTCCAGTAGGTCCAAGGCAGGTCAGGCTGGTCTTGAACTCCTGACCTCAGGTGATCTGCCCACTTCAGCCTCCCAAAGTGCTGGGATTAGAGGTGTGAGCCACTGCACCCGGCCAGCATTGCTTTTCTACTCAGATGAAGAATAGTGTATGCTGTCAACAGAGCATCAGGACTCAAACAGAAAGCTACATCACTGCCTTCCAAAAGTGGTGGCCTTCTGGTTTATGAGCAATCTTTGAGCCTGTGCTACGATGTCCTCTCTGGGGTGTTTGTGAAGCATCAAGATACTCCCACAGTCAAGGCCAATAATCAGGCTCAGCTGTGTCCTGTTCATCTCCCTCACCCTGTGCTTCCAATGTCCTCTACCTTCGCTAGCCATCCCAACACAGCACCTGCATCCTGGGCAAAATCACATTTGGAGTCACGTTGACAGTGGGGTTTCTACTCTGTGGCTCCCACTATCACTGTGGGTGTTGCCTTCAAGGGAGAAGGAGAAGAAGGTTGGATTCAGTAGCACCTAACTCTGTATTGCCCTCTCTAATCCAAATGACTGTAGAATCTGACAGGCAATGACTCCACCCTTCACTCATGTGAATACATTATCTGGAGCTGAATATGTCATCTCCACACAGTCATGGTTTGGTCACTGATTGCTACTCCATCCTGTGATACCTGGGCTTTTGACTCTGAGAAGTTTCAACAAGGATTTTCTCAACAAGTGCTTGCTGGACACCTTCCATGAAGTGATTGGACTGTTCCATGGAAATGTACAGACAAAAAGCTGACTTCTGCATGTTGCTTTTTAATCTATTGTGCCGGCATAAGAGGCCTATTGATAAATTAGAAGCAAAGGCATATATGCCACGAACAGTGGCTCACACCTGTAATCCATTCCAGCACTTTAGGAGGCTGAGGCGGGCACATCACCTGAAGTCAGGAGTTTGAGATCAGCCTGGCTAACATGGTGAAACCCTGTCTGTACTAAAAATATGAAAAAAAATTAGCCAGGTGTGGCAGTGGGCACCTGTAATCCCAGCTACTCGGGAGGCTGAGGCAGGAGAATCACTTGATCCTGGGAGGCGGAGGTTGCAGTCAGTTGAGATTGCGTCACTTCACTCCAGCCTGGGTGGTAAGAGTGAAACTCCGTCTAAAAAAAACAAAAACAAAACAAAAAAAGCATATTATCTGAGCAAAAAAGGCTTGGTTGGAATATTGATGCTGACTTTGTTCCTTCCTAGGCTTGCATTCAGATAATTTGCATAAATATATTAGTCTCATTGGACTCATACAGGAGCTTTTTAAAAGTATTGTACAGCTTGCTAAGAAGTAAATTTACATATTTTAACTGAGATACATAATGGAAAACAGCGTCCAGTACATCACAGGAACTACTTCAGTGTTCACAGAATAAGTAAGGCAAAACAGGTCCACAAGTCCAGGAGCCAGCCTCCCCTCACTGCAAGGCCAAGTCTTGCACTGTTGGAGACAAACACGTCAGACACCGGCAATGTGAGACCATGCTCCTTGGTGGCTATGATGAATCAAGACAAAAAAAGGGCATTCTGTAACCATGTCTTTAAAACTGGTGAAAGAGAGCATGTTCCAAATCGTAAACATGACAAAAATTCCCCTCTTCTCACTAATATGACTGAGTGGTATTTCTCATGAATTACGTTTACCTCCACTCCATTCCTTTTCCTTCTGGATGAGAATAATTATGATGACCAAGTTTAGAATTAAGTTTACCTCATCACTGCATCAAATACAGAGAATCATCTTGCTTCCTTGAATAGAAATCAATCGACCTGGCCAGGTGCGGTGTGGCTCATGCCTGTAATCCCAGCACTTTGGGAGGCCGAGGCAGGCAGAGCACAAGGTCAGGAGTTCGAGACCAGCCTGACCAACATGGTGAAACCCCGTCACAACTAAAAATACAAAAATTAGCCAGGCGTGCTGGTGTGCACCTGAAATCCCAGCTACTCAGGAGGCTGAGGCAGGAGAATTGCTTGAACCTGGGAGGTGGAGGTTGCAGTGAGTTGAGATTGTGCCACTGCACTCCAGCCTGGGCGACAGAGCAAGACTCCTTATCAAAAAAGAAAGAAAGAAAGAAAGAAAGAAATCAATCAACCTAAAACAAGCACAAAACCTGTAAGAAATTCTTCTGAGCAGCCTCTTACTGATACATCACACAGCCCTTTATGGTTTGTGGTCATAATTATTATTACAATTTATTACACCCTCTTTGACAACAGGTATGGTCTCTGTGGTCTTTAGCAAGAGAGCACACAAAACAGCATGACTTAACTTTTGGTGGTATGAGTAGATGAGAAATTACTATGAAGATAAAAGTTGAAACTATATAAGCATGAAAAGTAAAATTTACATGAGGAGGAAAAAATTCCTTAAGTTGTATGCACATGGTTAACGCTGACTTCAGTGTCTTAACAAATAATTCGCCAAAATTATAAACTTGATGTAATCCAAGACTGAAGACAGTTGTTAAACTGTTTCTAGGAAACATGTACAGAAGTCTTGTTTGAATAAAAAATACATATTAGTCACATATAATCAAACAACTGAAAATGAACTGAGGCATTACATTGAGCTATGAATAATAGGAAACACTTGAAATTTCCTGATAGAGGAAGGTGCTTATTCTCACATCAAGGTCCTGGGTGAGGCCAGTCACTGCACAGTACAGCAGAAGAACAAGCTCCCCTCTGGTTGGTTTTGACAGCAGCATGGTAGCTGTCAGGCTCAATCAAGAATACAGTCACTACTGGTAAGAACAAAGGTGCTTACCACACAAATTAGACCTTCTGCTAATTCAGTCTACAGACTAGGGGAGTCAGAGCATCAGAGAATATTCCCAACCAGGACAGTCTGAATTAGTTGCCTAGTTCACACATGATAATGTCTGAAGGAAAACCAAAGTGTGGATGGATATTCAACGTGGGGCTTCTGGAGACCTGTGTGGAAACCTATCACTTCTGAGAAAATTAAAGTCAAGTCATTTTGAGGATACTCTTGATTGGCAACCCAAAGCAGTAGGAAAATGGGATGGAAGCAGGTGTCCATACAGCCTGTATTCACATTGCTGTCTCCCTGTATGGTGCTTCCAAACCATGGCTAATGCCTTCTTAACTTCCTTCCAAACCTCATGTAAGATAGGTTACTGGTGAATTGTATCATGGAATCACAAACGGAATGGATTCTGGGAAATCTAGTTCCTAACCTACCAACACTGACATGACACAACCCAGAGATCCAACTCCAACTCTAGGTTTTACTGTCCTATCACAAGTCTCTCGTAATTTAAAGCCAATTATCTTACAGGGTCTTTCTCCACTGTGAATCCTTTCATGTAGTTGAAAGAAACAGAAAGGACTGAAGGCTTTCCCGAATTTCTTTCTTTCATGGGGTTTCTCTACGTGACTCCTTTCATGCTCATGAAAGAACTGGGACAAATGAAGGGTTAGGGTTGGGGTTCTCATAGGGTTTCTCTCCAGTATGAATTCTTTCATGTACTCGAAAGTAAGTGGATCGACTGAAGGCTTTCCCACATTGTTTACATTCATAGGGTTTCTCTCCAGTATGAGTTCTTTCATGGATTCGGAAGTAACTGGAGCGACTGAAGGCTTTCCCACATTTTGTACATTTATAGGGTTTCTCTCCAGTGTGAATCCTTTCATGTTTTCGAAATGAACTGGAACAACTGAAGGCTTTCCCACATTGCTTACAGTCATAGGGTTTCTCTCCAGTGTGGGTCCTTTCATGGATTCGAAATGAACTGGGGAAATCAAAGGCTTTCCCACACACCTTACATTTATAAGGTCCGTTGCCAGTGTGCTTTATCATGTGTCTTCGAACACTTGCGAGACAAGTCAAAGCCTTCCCACATTCCTTACATTCAAAAAGCTTCTCTCCAGTGTGAGTCCTTTCGTGACTGCGAACAGAACTGGCGCACCTAAAGGCTTTACCGCACTGTTTACATTCGTAGGGTTTCTCTCCTGTGTGAGTTCGTTCATGGATTCGAATGTACTTGGAACAACTGAAAGCTTTCCCACATTGCTTGCATTCATAGGGTTTATCTCCAGTGTGAGTCCTTTCGTGGATTCTAATGTAACTGGAACAACTGAAGGCTTTCCCACATTGCTTGCATTCATAAGGTTTCTCTCCAGTGTGACTTCTTTCATGTATACGAAATAAACTGGGATAATCAAAGGCTTTCCCACACACCTTACATTTGTAAGGTACACCTCCCCTATGCGTTAACATGTGTCTTCGAATGCTTACAAGAGAAATAAAGGTTTCTCCACATTCCTTACAATCATAGGGCTTTCCTCCCGGATGAGTCCTTTCACGTACTGGAAAAGAGCGATGATAACTCAAGGCTCGTCCACACTGGTTACGTGTATATGACTTCTTTCCATATTCCTGATATGCATTTGGTTCACGTCCAGTGTGATCTCTGATGTGCCTATTAAGGGATGAAGGACCCGTGCCAACTTCACACACACTGCGTTCGCATGGTTTTACTCCAGGAGTTTTCTTGTTCAGAATACCATCTGGAATCAGGCTGAAGGTTTCTTCACCTTGACTACCTTCTTTACCTTCACAGAGTCTCTCTGGAATATGACTTGTGGGAAAAATGAGAAGCACATTATTAACGTTTTGTTTATAAATGATTTTATATTCATTAATAGGTATTAGACTTATATTCACTTTTTTAAAACACAGAGACAGAATCTCACTATGTTGACCAGGTGTGAACCCTGAACTCCAAGGCTCAAGGGATCCTCTCATCTCGGCCTCCCAAAGTGCTGGGATTACAGGTGTGAGCCACCGTGCCTGGCCTTGGACTCACACTTTTAACATTATCAGGGCAAGTGTACATTTTATGCCTGTCTCAATTGTTTGAACATGAATGGACTAAATGGTCTGCAATAGGTCACAACCATACCTATTATCAAAAAATGATATTCATGGCCAGGCGCAGTGGCTCATGCCTGTAATCTCAGCACTTTGGGAGGCCAAGAAAGGCGGATCACCTGAGGTTGGGAGTTCAAGACCAGCCTGACCAACATGGAGAAACCCTGTCTCTACTAAAAATACAAAAAAAAAAATTAGCCGGGGTGGTGGCGGGCGCCTGTAGTCCCAGCTACTCAGGAGGCTCAGGCAGGAGAACTGCTTGAACCCAGGAGGCGGAGGTTGCAGTGAGCCAAGATGGTACCCTCACACTCCAGCCTGGGCAATGAGTTGTGAAATTCCCTCTCAAAAAAAAAAAAAAAAAAAAAAAAAAAAAAAATTAGCCAGGCGTGGTGGCGGGCGCCTGTAGTCCCAGCTACTCAGGAGGCTCAGGCAGGAGAATTGCTTGAACCCAGGAGGCGGAGGTTGCAGTGAGCCAAGATGGTACCCTCACACTCCAGCCTGGGCAATGAGTTGTGAAATTCCCTCTCAAAAAAAAAAAAAAAAAGATATTCATATTCATATGAGGTTTCTTAATACTGTCTACAAGTGAACTATTTTGCAAACACTGAACATCTATGTTACACTTAACTATGTTTTTGGAAAAGATTTTCTTTTCTTTTTTGAAATGGAGTCTCCCTCTGTCACCCAGGCTGTGCACAAGCCGTTTCAAAGAATACCAGTCCTCAGGGGGGCCTTAACTTCCCACCTTTTCCGGCACACCCAGTTACACAAAGTTTGTACAACAGTCTACCAGACCCCACCTTACAGGAACTTAGGGGTGCCCAGGCAGTACATACTTCTCCCCAACCAGACAGGGCCATGTGCCCTGTTGGCTGTTGCCAGTTTCCAAGTTCGACACGCAAATTGCTTGTGGAAGGAGGAAGGGTCTAGACAGAGTAAGTTTGAAATGACTGTTTGAATCTTGAAAGAAAGTTGGGAGAGCACGAGCATCCTGAAGAACGTTCTGGGAATAAAGGTCTAGGCCCCCCAGTGCTATCAGTCTAACTTCCCTCCACACGTTGTGGATGTTTCAGGACTCAGTGCCCTTGGAGGGATGGCTGTTAACTTCACCCCTGGAAGATGGGCTTGCCCCTGGATCCTCCAGAAAGAAAATCTCTACAAGGATGTGGATGCCGAAAAACCTCAGAAACCTGGCCTTCTAATAGTGTAAGTGGGGACAATATACTCACCCTTAGTAAACTAGAGAACAGGTGTTTCCTAGCCCGAACTTCTGGGGAAGAAAACCAGGCATGGGTGCAGGGAATTTGGGAAATAGAATCAACCAATGTTTCTTAATTTTACCTAATTCCATTGAATGAACCTTGTTCTGGTCAATTTTAGGAACAATGGGGAAAACCAGAACAATTGGGAAGACATCCCCATTCAACATTCCAGGAGAAATTATCCAGTAATTGCACCACAAAATACAGCTCGTTCTTGCGGAGCCATTTCATATTGTTAGGAATTTTTTTTTTTTTTGAGATGAAGTCTCACTGTGTTGCCAGGCTGGCAGGTGCAGTGGGGCATCTCGGCCATTGCAACTCGCCTCCCAGGTTCAAGTGATTCTCTTGCCTCAGCCTCCTGAGGTAGTCTAAGACTAACAGCACGTGCACCCACATCCCAGCTAATTTTTGGTATTTTTAGTAGACGTAGGGTTTTCCGACATGTTGGCCAGGTGGTCTTGATCTCTTGGACCTTGTGATCTGCCGCCTCGGTCTCCCAAAGTGCTAGATACAAGATGTAATCCACTGTGCCCGGCAGGAATTTTTAAAACAAGCAAACAACATATAAGCCCAGTTTCAAACTGATGTTGTTTTTAGAAAATCTTCTCTAAAGCTAGGCATTGTGGCTGACCTGTAATCCAGCACTTTGGAGGCTGAGGTGGGCACGATCACAAGGTCAGGGAGATCGAGGACCATCCTGCCTAACATGGTGAAAACCACGTCTCTACTAAAATACAAAAAAAAAGTTAGCCGGGCATGGTGGCGGGCGCCTGTAATCCCAGCTGCTCAGGAGGCTGAGGCAGGAGAATGGTGTGAACCTGGGAGGCGGAGCTTGCAGTGCGCCGATATCGTGCCCACTGCACTGC